CTCTCGCTGCATGCTGGCTTCTTTTCTGCCGTGGTCTTCTGGGTCCCCCCCTCTTGTGGGAGACCCGGGACCAGGTTAGGTTAGAGAGCACGGAGCAGAGCAGAGAACGCTTGAGTCAAAGGTTGCCCCTGGAACCTTTGACTCAATCTAGAAAATTGGCAGAAGGCAAAAGCTAACCAGTGTTGGCATAAAACAGAATTCTTTGTTCGTCACAACTGCGCCTACTCAAGAATCTCAACATCCTGTGTTAATGAATCATAACCCAGCAGTACTTCTTAGGAATCGTTGATATTTGCCTCCTTGCGTAGCTTAAGGGCTCATTTACATGGGAATCGTCCAGCGCGTACAGCTCCGTGCTGCGAGCATGGCCGTATAGGGCAGCTCCCTGGAAGGACTGGTGCTGCGTGTGATTGGTACACAGCCCCTGTCCTTCTCTATGGGACTATGCGGCTGTATGCCGCCCTACGCTCACCCACCCAGCACGTCCGTGCGGTTGAGCGTACTCGTACGCTGACAGGATGGATTCTGTCTGCGTCCGAGCCGGGGCACACGCACCCGTATGAACCTGCACTTGAGGTGAGCGTATGGCTGCGTAGTCACATAGAGAAGGACAGGGGCTGCGTACTAATCACACGGGGCCTAACGCACACTGTGTAAGGATGGCTCTAGGGTCCTGGGAGTAAATCTGACAATAGTGGCTCCGCCAATTACCTGGCCTCATGCCAATAAAACATGCCGTCTCGGGATTGTGAACAACAGCATGACATAACAAAGCCCTGTAACCATGAAGAATGATAACTCCAGGGCTGTGTGTTTGGTACTGTTATTGTTACTTAGGAGCAGAGAGACACCGTGTGTTAACAGCTTCGGTTCAGGGAAGTGGAATCCTCTCACTGATACTTAGGTCCCCAATTTGAGGATAGATACATCTTGGAGCCATTTTAAAAAAAGAAAGCGGATATTGCTATTTGCTGGACAACACGTTCCATACCCCGGTTCCCAACTGAGAATTTCGTAGACGACACTCAACAAAAGGAATCCCATTATTTTCAATAGTGCCCGTCACCTGCTGAGCGTTCTATCACTTGTGAAAAAGGGCATGAGCTTTGTTCGGGCAGTCTCATGCATTTTTTAGCTCCATCGATATCAACCGGAAGGCCAAAAAAATAGGATTTGGGTCTTACTTGTGGAATACTTTTCTTGCCGTACATTCCAGGGCACAGGTCCCGCCCCTCTGTTTTCCTCTGATTCACTCCTTATAGTGGTCTCTCTGCAGAGGTCCAACACACCACTTGCTTAGTCACAGCTAAAGAGCTCCAATCAACAGGCTTCATGAGCTTTGCTGATTGCAGAGCTAGAAGTCTGACTCACCAGTAGGTGTGGTAGACCTCTGCAGGGAGACTACTGCTTCCAACCTCCGGTGGAAAGACCGGAGGTTGGTCTGGGGAAGGAAGACCCCGGACAGGGCCGTATCAAAGAATAGACTGAGATACCTCAAGTGATGAGTCGGCGCTGATATCTTGAGAGTTAGTATCCATTTAAACCTCTGCAGGGTCTGTAATATCCACTGGACATTGGCCGATCAAGTCTGGACCAACTGTTCCTTAAGCAAGGTGATCAACCAGGTTTCCACAACGGGGATCCCCTGAGAGCGAAGCAGAGCTAGAAGAGGTGTTAGTAACTTTGTGAAGACCCAAAGTGCCACAGACAGACAAACAAAAGGGAAGGGCAACAATTTGGTAATGTTTCAGATACACAGCAAAACACAGAGGGGGGAATGTATCAAAACTGGAGCAGACAAAACCTGAACCACATTTGCACTGCAGCCAATCAGTTTCTCTGTCTCATTTTCAAATCCTACCTGAGCAAACTGAAGAGAGATGCTGATTGGTTGCCATGGGCAACTGCTCCAGGTTCTGTTTGCTCCAGTTTTGGTAACCCCCCCCATGCTGTTCACAGAGACCAAAAAATTCCCTAGTTGAAGGGAAGCAGTGACTGACCTGGCAGATTCCATGTGGAATTGTTGAACTCCAAGGAATCTGTTGAGAATCGCTGTGTGACTTCTCTGACCAGTCACAGAGGGGCCCAGTACATCCAAGAATCTTTCTGCTCTGATCTTTCCTGGCTGCCAGGGAGCAGAGGGGCAGCCAGGGAGCATGCATGAAGAAAAAACGGCAGTGCAGTGCACCTGGCAGGAAAGAGGATGTGCCAGTGTCCCAGCAGCCCTGGGTTATCTGAGTCTCCTGAAGGCAGCTGCACAACCCATGGTCTGAGATTACAAGGTCCTGTGCCCTGTAATGCAGTTAAGAAAGAACCCGTTTTGTGGGGGTGATTTGTTTTTTTGTTTCTGACTATGACAAATAGGCCGGACAAATGTCCTCACTTTTTATTAACTCTTTTACAACTAACAATTGTCACATTTTGAGAGAACAGTCAGCCGTCTGTGGTGGCATTGTGATAAAGTATGTTCTTTTTATACTGTGGCCAGTTTGGGGACTAATAATCCTTAGATCCAATTACAGAAATCTAATTAAAATGTTTTAAGTATTTAAAGCTTATTGTTACACACTCATCAGAAGTAATTGAGAGGTGTGTGTGCTCTGGCAGGGACAGAGTTATCTCAGCATTGACTGGTGAAGGTGTGGTGCCAAACTGTCCACTGCTGAGTCAGCTGGAAGAGAAGCGAGCACCATATATCTGTTCAGAAATTCCCCCTGTAAGAGAAGGCACAGCGCCAGCTGGAGCTCACAACTGACACGTGACATTTCACAGTTTTACAACTTGCTGCCTCCACCCAATGCACCAAATAACCGTGTAAGGCAGGGGACTCAAACCTCCAGCTGTGGTGGAACTACAAATCCCATGAGGCATTGCAAGATTCTCACAGCCACGACTCCCGAAGAAAGATGCATCATGGGGTTTGTAGTTTCACCACAGCTGGAGGGCCGGAGGTTTGAGACCCCTGGTGTAAGGAGTTCATCTAATAGAGGGCTAAAAACCTCTTTATTAGTACATGGTAACCAAGAACTCTGGGAATTACTCTGCGAATTTAAAAACCGTAATGTGAGGCTATCCCCGCACTGCAAGGATTAAGTGCTAGTTTTGTCTAGGGGGCTCAAATAAAGGAGATATACTCACCCGCTTCTCAGTTCCATGGCGGTCAGCACTCGCCTCTCTCCCACTCTGCTCTGGTTGTGGAAAGTCCCACAGCATCCTCACGTCTAATGCAAATCAATGGACCCGCATTAGCCGTGATGAAGTCAGTAGTCCTTAGACCAGGGATGGCCAAACTCCGGCCCTCCAGCTGTGGTAAATCAACAAATCCCATGAAGCATCTTTTCTCAGGTAGTCATGTCTGTGAGAATCTTGCAAAGCCTCATGGGATTCGTAGTTCCACCACAGCTGGAGGGCCGCAGTTTGGCCATCGCTGCCTTAGACCATGAGATTCTAGGGGAGAAGAGTCTGTGGGGACCGAGGATCAGGTGAGTATATCTGCTTTATTCCAGCCCCTAGACCAGGGGTAGCAAAAGTCCGGCCCCCCAGCTGTGGTGGAACTACAAATCCCATGAGGCATTGCAAGATTCTCACAGACATGACTCCCGAAGAGAGATGCATCATGGGATTTGTAGTTTCACCACAGCTGGAGGGCCGGAGGTTTGCGACCCCTGCCCAAGACTAAAACAAGCACTTAACCATTGCAATGCAGGGGTAGCCCCACTTCAAGGTTAAGATTTGTACATTCCCAGAGTACTTCTTTAAAGTGAAACTCTAGGCAAAAAACGAAATGCACACTTATGGACCCAACCCTATTAACAAGAATGGAAATAGCCACACTGTAAACTTCAGCCCTTTATATAGATTCAATTGATGCAGCAGACTGTTTTGGCTCTGCCTGATTTATTTTCAAGCTCAAACATGACAGATCCCTGCACAAACACGTTGCACACGGGAAAGGCTTGAACCCAAAATAGTTCACTTCACTGCGTAGATTTATATATAGATGTAAAGTTTACTTCTGATCGATTGAGTACTTGGACGTTTTTGGTTTTCAATATGAATTAACAGGCAGGGTTATTTTATACATTTATCTTTCCCTTAAAGAATTATTTAGATTCATTACTGGTGTGGAAATTGTCACAAAACCTATATAATTAGGAGGTCCACCGAAATTAAAATTTCAAAACTGTAATTAAAAAAAGTCAGGCCGAAACCAAAAATGTTTATTTTAACTTTTTTAAATATTTTATTTTTTATAAAATATTTTTTTACTTTACATTTAGGGGCTTTCAGGGAAATGTCTAAACAGACCTCTGATATTTCCCTTTTAAAATAAAAAAAGGGATTGAGGACACAGCGTCCTTCCTCAATCTCTTTATCTGCAGCCCATTATCAATGAACAGGAATCCTCTATACTGAGTGTTCCTGTTCATTCATAACATGAAGACAGAGTATGTTTACTATAACCACAATCATGAATGAACAGGAGATGATGTAGATCACTTCCCATTCATTCATAATTGAGGATATAGTTAACATACTCTGTCCTCAATTATTTACAAACACTCAGTGATCAGTGATCGCCGAGTGTCTGTACCGCTCTCCTTCCTGACTCACTGTCACAGGAGGCTGAGCAAACGGTGCAGTAGGAGAGCACAGCCACCTGTGACAGCGCTAGATGTCTCCGCCCACACTGCTTTCCTCTGATCTGTCACAGGAGGCGGACCGGTGTGGGAGAAGAGATGCCGGCTGCTCACGGCGCTATCCTCCCGCAGCGCTCGGCCGCCTGTGACAGTTTCTCTCCTCCCCGCTGGGACACAGAGCAGCGGGGAGGAGAGAAAGAACAGATGCACCGCTGTATCGGGCAGAAAATGGCACTTTCGGCATTATGCCAAAAGAGCATTTTCGGACGGTATGTTTTGGCGGCCGATATATCGCCACGATCCCTACTATATATAGCATGATTACACTATGTTCATTCTGCTGCTCCATCCAGTACTCACCCTGAAGTAGAGGAGATGCTATCTGTGCTCAGACCAAGTATGAAAAAAGAGGTGTGATGTGTTATCAATGCAGCAATTCTCCCAAGTTCTAAACTCCATGGAAGCAGTTTTACCTACAAAATAAGGAAATGGATTAAAAACTAGGTGCATGCAATCAAACCGGCCTAACATATACAGTACAATAAAGTTAATTTTCAAGTTTTGAGCCTAGAACTAGTTAGCATATAAAGTAGCTTTTACTACAATATACACCTACTCCCTGGTGCTGTCTCCCGCAGACTCACTGCTCTATGATCCAGGACGGGACCTCTTCTGGTTTGAATGATGCTGACATTTAACCCACTTCTTCTGAATCCAGGATGTAATGAAGACTCCCTTAGTGTGCATTATCACATCGCCCTGGGCTCAAAGAGCAATGCTGCAGAGAATGGCACTGAAGTCATAAACATTGATCTCTGCAACATTAACACCCCCCCCCCCCCACCCTCCCAACGCGGGGGAAAAAAGGAAAGACCCTGGCATGTCCTGATGGCAGCTGTATGCATGTTAAAAATGGAGGATGATAGGTGTATGGGCTTTAGGGATTTTCTTAATTTCTTGAACCCGAGGCTACCACACACACATTAGAGTGCTCGAATGAGCAGCTATAATTTAGTCGCACTCAGGCCCCAATGTCGCCTGTTGGGGCACTAAACACGAACAACCACAATTTACAATTGAGGAAGGGGTGGAGGAGGTGGTTTATTAAAGGGGAACTATGAGGCGAGTGAAAATCACTGTCTCATAGTTCTAGCCGACCTGTGACAATGAAACTGTCACAGGTCGGCTCAATAGATCGGGAAGTGAGTGAACACATAGGGTCGCTCGCTTCTTGATCTATCCCTGCAGAGAGCCACGACCGTCACTCACGGCTCCTTGCTGGGATCCCCCCCTCCCCACTCCGATCCTCCAGCGCTGACTGGCGGAACGGACGGGGGAGGGAGCGGGCACAGCTGGCTCTGCCTCTAGATAGGCAGAGCCAGCTGTCAATCACGCAGCTGGGTGGATCTCAACAGTAATGACGGGATCCGTCCCGGCTGCGGCGTCTCAGTATACCGCGAGCTGCAGCTCGCGGTATACTGAGCTTAGGGTGACGGGAGGACGCTACCCGTTACCCTTATGAGAACTATGGGGAAAAGCCCTGACCCCATAGTTCTCCTTTAAGGGAAACAAAAGTGACCAGAAAAGGTTTTCTAACATCCAATCGCGTCTCTCCACAACCAGCCTCAGTCAGCGATGTCTGTGGGAGCTGACAAATCAAATCTGGATTCCGTTTATACTTTTCTTTCTTCTGAAGTGCACTAAGGCCCCATTCATATGGGAGCTTATTTTGCATTCTAGGATGCTTGCGGCAAGAACCTACAGATTCCTGCGGCAGGAATTCCAGGTACACCTGTTCAGATGGGGCCTCTGTACCCACTGAATTTAATGACAGGGTGACAGCAGTCCTCATGTAATCATACATGGTACGATTACACGCAGTTCGGCATAGATGATTGCTGGCGGATGCATCTATCAGCGACAAGAGTCCATAGGTTCCTGCTGCAGGAATCCCAGAACTCCCCGTGTGAATGTAGCCTAAAGACAGCCTTATATGTAAACAATGAATGATTTATCAAACACAGATTGGATTGTTTAAAACGAGCTTTCATTAGTAAATGACTGCTCAGCACAACAAAGGAAAAAAGGTAAATCGGAGACATTTGATTGGATTTACCACCAGGATTGATATCCCCCCATTTAGTGCAATCAGGTTCTGAAAGATATCATCCTTTTCATTACTACGATTGTCACATCAAATGATCGGATCATTAAATTAAGCTCTGGACTTCCTTTAAGCTGCATTCCAAGACATTGCGTCTGCAAATCACTGATGAGTAGGTCAGCATTACATCAAAGACAGTTTTTAATCATTGCCTGAAATGTCAACACAGCTCAGCGTGCCAATTCATTCTGCCCTACACCGCCTTATGTTTGTGACATCCCTTATGTTTGTGACATCCGTGTGTGAAGATTTGGAAGGCATTGTTTGATTTTTTTCTAAAAAAGATCTTAATGAGTAATGTACATTTTTATTTTTGTGCTGCTTTTGTCATATAACTGCTTTCTGATGTATTTTTCTGCATCAGACTTGCAACATATACTCTCAAATCAAACTGTCAGGGATGTATTTCATTTTGATATCCCGAATTTTGTAATCCAATCTTATGTAACAAAAATGGAGTGCCAGTCACTATGCATCCCTTGTTGCCAGTATGCAGTTTTAGCATGTCAGCACAGGCTGTGCCATTTTCTTAAAGAAGAACTCTGGATACATTTTCTATTAAAAAGGAGAACTATGAGGCGAGTGCTTTTCACTCACCTCATAGTTCGAGCCGACCTGTGACAATGAGACTGTCACAGGTCGGCTCAGTAGATCGGGAGGTGAGCGAACACATACCGGCGTTCGCTCACCTCTCGATCCTGTCATGGCTCTCTGCCGTGACAGGGGGAGGGGCTGAATTCCCTCCTCCCTGCTCCGATCCGCCAGCGCTGACTGGTGGAACGGACGGGGGAGGGTACAGCTGGTTCTGCCTCTAGATAGGCAGAGCCAGCTGTCAGTCACGCAGCTGGGCGGATCCTGGCACAATTGTCAGGATCCGCTTCAGCTGTGGTGTCTCAGTATACCGCGAGCAGTGGCTCGCGGTATACTGAGCATTGGGTGACTGGAGGACGCTAGTTTGTGTCCTCCCGTTACCCTTAGGAGAACGATGCGGAAAACCCTTAACCCCATAGTTCTCCTTTAACCCTTGAAGTGGGGCTACCCCCACACTGCAAGGGTTAACTGCCCATTTGGTCTAAATAGCAAAGTTATACTCACCCGATTCTCAGAGCTGGTCGGCTGTGACAGCGTTCCCTCCAGCATTGATGGTATGTTCCTCATTGCCCCCACATTCTATACACTGTGATGGCTTAGACCACTGCAGTAGAGGAGGTGAGAGGCACCAGGCACTGATCTATGAGCGAGCCAGCTCCGAGGATTGGGTGAGTAAAACTTTTTTTTATTTTCCTCCTTAGACCAAATGAGAAGTAAACCCACTGCAAGGGTAGGGCTGCAAGAACTAAAATCGATTATGAGAATAGTTGGCAACTATTCTGATCATCGATTAGTTGGTTGGAGAGAGAGATCTTTTATATGAAAAAATAATCGGATAACTAATCGATTATGAAAATAATCGTTAGCTGCAGCCCTATGCAAGGTTTAATAAAAGTTTTGCCCGGAGTGCGGCTTTAAAGAGCATTTCCCCTTCTGCAGCCAAAATGGGATAACCTTATTTTAGATTTGTTGCATGTCATTTACATAACGTTTAATAAATGAATAATACTGCATACATTTTACTTGCTTTATTCTGAAAGAAAATGATTTTCTAAGCTGATTTTTACTCTGCAATGCAAAGGGGCTGGGGAGTTATTGTTTACCATAATTATCCTGTCTGTACTGTGCTGGCAGATCTCATTATCAGTTGTAAACTAGATGTGAACAAAGTCTGTCCCAACAAAGGGTTAAAGATCCAGAAGCATTGCATCTTAATGAGAGGAAGTTTAGCCCGTCCCTTGTCTTTCTATGGGGACAGACTGTGTTTCCTGTCACCTTGTAATTGCTACACAGACGCATCTAAGAGGTAAGAACTATTTTCTTCAAAATTATTGTTAGATATGCTGTGTGAATGGGAACACAAACATATCGAGGGGTGTTCCCAAATTTGACTGCAAAAGTGAAAATACACTTTAACCACCTCCGGGCCGGCCCGAGCTCTCTAGATACTGGTCTTGAAGTGGTTAAAGTATATGTCAGGGCAAAAAACAAAATCACGCAGTAGTACATTTCTGCAATGACGGAACATTTCCCCACATTGTATCCATTTAAACGCACAACAAGCACAGAAAAATATCTGTAGATATTGCAGAAATTGATTGAGTTCATAAATCCTGTTGGGGGGTGTTATCAGCCCTGCAAAGGTTTTCTTCTGCCAAACTGGTCACACCCCCCTACTTCCCCCTTCTCCACAACATAAAGGCTAATCATCCTGTAGTCTCAAGATAAGAACTGGGAGGGCTAATTAGTTCTTGCAAGATAAAACAGGAAGTTAGAACAGGACAGCTCTGAACCTCTGACGTCATCAAACTGGGTTTTTTTGTTGTTGTTGTCCTAATCAGACCGATATAACAAATCACTTTCTAGGGAAGGTTTAAGCGCTTACTGCGCATGTATGGGGTGGACATGGAACAATGGCACATAGAAAACAATTGTTCTATGTGCCCTGTTCTCACCACATATGTATCCTACCCCCTTCCCAGTTATCTCCTCTCCCCCTCCTGTGACCCCCCCAGTCCCCGTTTAGCCCCTCTCCCCCTCCAGTGTTCTGTCCTCCCCCACCACTGTCCTGCCC